CTAACATTTATTACTTTTTTTCCTTCAGGAAACAGTATTTCTCCGGGCCTTGTGGGAGCTCCCCTGCACGGGCTGGGCTGGCCGCGGTGCCCCGCGCCCCGGCACTGCGGACCCCCGCGGACGCCCCCCGCCAGCCCCTGACAAAGGATTTTGCCGTTTCCTGTGTGGGAAAGAGACGTTGATTAACTCCTGCACTTGCTTTTCTGGAAAGGTTATAGCTTAATTGGTCGGACTTGGAGTCATAAATCACGCGCTGAAGAATCAGCGGAGATAAGAAAATTTTTGCAGAATGTTGCAAAACCACTTTTTGGTAGGAGGCATCCAGCTGTGCGTGCCCGAGCGCGGGGGCTGCGGGCAGCCGGGAGCACAGGGCTCCTCTGGGGAAACGATTCACCCTCTAGCGAGGGGCTGGAAATTCTCCCTTCTGTTATCAGTTAATCTCAGAATTTGCAAAATATCTTTTTTTGTTGTTTGGAAAAAGAAAAACAACAGGAAAGCCATTGTTTGCTTTATTCAGAAGAGTCTGAATTCCATCTGTTTTGGAAGATGATTCTGTTTCTCCATGGGAAGTGTTAATTCTCCCTAACCTAAAAACTAAAATTTAGAAAGTCCCCACTTTTCCTAGCTAAGGAAGGCAGTGGGGGAGGGAGAAAAAGGCTCTTCCCACCAGGGCAGAGGAGAGCGGACTGGTGGCAGCACCTCTCCGCCCCGGGGACGCCGGCTGGTTCGGGCATCCCACCGCCTTGGGTGCTCCCGCACTGCGCGGGCTTGAGCGAAGGCAAACACCGGCCAGCAGCGGCCCAGCTCGGAGGTCCCTGCCGGCCCGGGGATCCCCCGGGGATCCCCCAGGGACCCGTCGGTGCTCCTCGCCAAGCCTTCAGAGCGGGCAGGGAACGGCATCGCAGATGTGAAGCATTTATTATTCATGTCAGTAATTATTTCTTCCCTGATTCTCCCCAGCATTTTATCGAGGAATTAGGATGTTAGTATGAGGAATCTCAAACCCACGCTGCAGACATCCCTATTACTGCTGCCGCGCTGCTGCTGCTGCTCCGTAATGGCAAATTAGAAAATGGCCCCAACTCGCTGGGTTTGCCCTGGCCCTGGCTCGACGCCATCAGACCCTCGTCTTGACGTGCAGCAAAAAAGAGGGGCTTGGTACGGCCCCAAGCATCCATCCTGCTGCGGGACTGGTGCCTCTCCCTCTGGTCTTGACTATTCTCTTTTCTTCCCAGCCTCCAGGCATTTGCTTTGCCTGAGTTTATTTCTTAAACCGCACATCCAGGTCTTCCTGGATTTACCTCCGGCTCCTGGCAGCCTTGGGGGCAGCCCGTCCTGGAGCCAAGACCCGTCCTGGAGCCGAGACTCGGCTGTCGTGGCCAGGGCAAGGTCTGAATCCACGGAGCCCGGCAGCCCGCGGGGACGGGAGTGAGGGGGTGCTCCCCTGCACTGCCTGGGCCCGGGTGCCAAAATCTCTTCAGGCGAGGTCAGGGGATGCCGAGACGCAGAAACTGGCTTTGCTGCAGGTGTGATGATGATGACGAACAACAGCACAGATTTGAGTGCCTTTTCAATGGGCTCCCAGGAAACTGGCTATTTAAACACAGGTAAAATCAATGAAAAATGGTGAGCACCTCTTGCATTTCAATGTGGAAGCTAAAACAGGTGTTGCTTGCCCCAGTTAAGTAAAGAGGCGACTTCTGGACACAGGGCTGTCAAGCCCAAGGCTCGGTCCCTGCCACTTCTGCCCGTCCTGGGTTTGGGTTGCTTCAGCCTCTGACCTCGTCTCACCACTGGAGATGGTGCAGGAGAACAGCAAAGCATAAAACCTCTCCTAGGGCACTGGAGGTGTTATTCCTATAAACAAGCAAAGCACTTCAGAATCAATACGAAGTTTTACTCGCGGCCGCTAGAGAGATTTCATCTCCTGAATTATATGATGGGATAAACGAGATCCCAATCCGGCTGCCACCCCACGTACCAGCAGCTATCTGTTCACAGCCGGGCTGAATGGCTCCCAGAATTAATTAGAATAATCAATCCTAAAAATGACAAAAGTATTGATTAGCATTTTTGTCTCTTCACAGCCTGGCAGTGCCGTGACTCCGGGAGCATTGCAGAGCGATAAGAAGCAGCCTCAGCTGTGGATGGGGGGCGCTTATCCAGCGACACTGCGTGACAGCGAGGGGTTTGTATGCAACAACGGCATCGCCCAAACGCGTCCCCACGCTATTATTTCAGTAATAATATTCTCATCCCTCTTCCTTGCTCTTGTTCAGTTTACACAGTGGTTCATTTTTAATACCTGTCTATTTACTGCTTTCCTGGACATGGTAAGAAAGCAGGAGCAACAGGGAGGGGAGCCTCCACACCTGCTGACGCCGGCTGGGCCGGTGCAGGCAGCTGCCCGGGTTTCGGGCAGCTCGGCCCCAGCAGACCCCAGCTGGTCCAGCCGGCCCTGCCGGCCCTTGCCAGGCTTGGAGCTGCCTTGCCGTAGCACGGGTCCCGGCAGAGGCATCCCTGCCCGGGAGCCGGCGTGCCTGCGGCGGCGATGGGGTGTGCAGTGCTCCTCACCAGCGCGCGGTCTGCCTTTCCCAAGGGAGATGAGCAACGCGGACGGCGTGCCCAGCCCACCAAGGCACCGGCACAAGCCCGGGCTGGGATGCGTGTGCTGTGCTGGTTGCAGGAGGCTGAGCTCAGCCGCATGTGGCCGCACGCTGATAATGAGGACTTCCGAAGCCATGGGCTTCTGTGAAATGACAGGCAAAAATCGGTATCCAAAGAGGAATTTAGAAGGTGTACTGTTTCTTCAGTGCACTGCAAAGGCGGGCGTGTAACGGGATGATAAAACAAATCATCTGTCGGTAGAGCAGAAAATGGAGCGAGGGAACTGTCAGGCCGGGCTTTGAATGCTTTTGGAGGTAGAAGAGATTTTTGGCTCTTGGAAGGAGCTGGGCACAGTCCAGGCGGGCACGGCTTTTGCCAGCCGTGCGTGCGGGGCTGGGGAGCGGGCACGCTCGGCTGGCCGGTGAGGGGACAGCCAGCCCCCAGGTGGCTCGCAGGGATGTCAGGGCAGGGGGAAGTGTGTCCGTCTGCTCCTTCTCCGGATTTATGTGCTACATCATCTCTGCAGCAAGGGCATTTCTGAAGCCCTTTAACCTCGGCGCAGGGCCAGACTGTTGGGCACGGGTAAATACCGTTACATGAAGAGGTAGGAAAAGTGGCCTGGCGGGGGTGACCTCGGTGACATCCAGGACGTGGCGTTAGTGGGAGAATGGAGCAAAGCCGGCTGGGTGCACCCAGGATGGATCGTGCAGACCTTACCCAGGGTCTCTCCATGATAATTACTTTTAAGTCAAAAGGAATGGGATAGACCTCGGCTAGCGGGATTTCAGTGAGGCACTGATAGAAGTGCTACTAGGGAAATTTGTGTTTGAGCTGGAGAAGATGGTGTTTAAAAGAACTGAAAGAGCAGGCAATGGGTAGGACTGGGAGCAGAAGTGACGGGCAGGAGGTCCCAGGGTGGCGCCTGGGGAGCGGGCTGGGACTGGTGTTCATTAACCCTGCCGCTAATGACCTGGGCAGGAGGACCGCGGCACCGCAGGGGGCAGTCGGGACTGCAGCCTCCCGAGGAGCTCAGCAGGGCTTGGCTTGGGCATTTGGCAAAAACAAGGCTGAGGGGGGTAGGAGTGATGCTGACAAACGCTGCGATGGGCAAGCGCCCTTTGCTGAGGCGCGGCATCGTGCAGGGCCACGAGCCACGACCGCGCCGTGGCTGGGAGGAAGAGAGTGTTTTTCTGGAACGGCCTCTACATAAGCTATTGCTTTTTCTGTGATGTCTCTTGATGAGCTCATGAGGCGGCCACCTGGGGTGGCGGGCAGCGCAGCGTCCTGCCCCGGACAGCCCGTCTCCCGCCTGGCTCCACCCGTTCCCGGGTGCTCAAACAGGCGGTGCGGCTCGGCGGGACGCGCCTGTGAGGACGGGATCCCCGGGGACCCCGCGCTGTTTCGGACGGCGATCGGTGAGGTCACACCCAGCGCAGATGGATCCCGAGGCTTTGGGACAGCCTGTTCCCAGCGAGCGGGAGGCTGGGCAGGATGACACCGCCCTCGCCCATGTGCTGGGGAGGGCGTAGGATGGTGTGAGAACCAGAGACGGAGGCATTTAACCTTTACAAATGGGAGTGGGACTCATTCTGCAAATCTCTGCAGCCTGGCAGTGGGGGCCAGTGGGGCAGGGCACAACAGGGACCAGCCAGCAGTGGTTTGAGCAGGACCATTCTACCAGAGCGAGATGCTGGCGGTGGGCAGGAGAGCTGGGCTGCGGCCACAGCCTGCACCGGCAGCACGGGAGGCTCCCGCGGCGGCACCGGCTGCCCGTTGGTGCTGGGCTGGGGCAGCGGCGGGGAGCCCGGGCGAGCAGCACAGCACCCAGCTCTAAGCAGGACATGGCTTTTTGTTCTGCTCCACAAGGACCACGCTGGCTGCTTCCCTTCGGGTTTATTAATATTAATAACGTTAGTCCCATGTTAACGAGTGCACATGAACAAAATGCCCATTGCTGTCGCACGGCCAGGGCTGCAGCAGCAGCGGAGGGGACGGTAAAATCACCTGGCAGAGGGGGGACCACAGCGGGGCTGGCGGGCAGGAACACCTCAGCACAGGCTCGTGCTCCCATGGGACACTCCGAGCACAGCTGCTGACTGCAGGGAACCCTCACTGCTGTCCTGAGGCAAACCTGGCACTTGTAGGGATACATGCACTTTATGCAAGGATTGCTACACACTAGTAATTATTAACGAACTTTGTGAGGCTGGTCGTAGGGTTACTGCCGTTCCACAGCGGGCTGAGTGCTAAGTGTGGGGAACTGAAGGACTCTGGGACTGAGGGTTGGGCAATGGGTCCCAGCATCCCACCTCCAAGCACGGGACGTCCCATCCAGTCGGTGATCGAGACCTCCGCAACTGGTCAGACACAGCCCCAACTGGAAGGGACTGGTTTTAGTTGGCATTTGCTTTAGCTGGACTCTCGGTGTGGTGGTTCTCCAGGTAAACAATCTGGGGGGGCTTTTCGGAGGGGCAAGGTGGCCTGGGACTCTGGAGGTCCCGGAGCAAAGCCAGCCTCGCGGATGGGGCTTCTTCGGTGGAGTTCTGCGAGTCTGAGTCTTCAGAGGAGAAACTGCTCTGGGTGGAAACCTGGAAGTACTGGGTGGCTTCTGCCTGCTTATCTGCAGGCGGACCGTGCGTGCCAGGGGCTGAGACAGTCTCGTGGGGCACAGCGGTGGGAGACAACGGGTCAGCACCTGGAAAATGCGCCCGGGGAGGCAGGGTGAAGGGATGCCTCTGGAGGGGCTGGCTGCGCTCCTGGGCAAGGTGTCCTGCAGCTGCCAGGCAGGCTCCGCTCTCGGGTTTTGGGAGGGAGGCGTCAGCAGAGACGTGGCGGTGAAAGACACAGTTGCCCTCCGGCCCCTGCCGGCAGCGGGGCTGCGGGGAGCTCGGCTCTGCGCCCAGGGCAGGGCCAGGAACGCTGCTGGCCTGGGGCTGTCCTGACCCTTGGGGCTGTCCCGGTCCCAGGGCGCTGGGCTCTGGCTGCTCTGCTGCGCCCCGGCCCCCTGACACGGCTGGCTCGGGGCTGGCAGCTGCTTTGCAGCCTGGGGCTTCCTTGCAAGGGGCTGCGGCCCCCGAGCTGGGGGAGCCGAAGGCGTCTCCCTGCCCGTCGGCTTGTGCTCCCCAGGCCTCCTGCAGCTCTGCCAGCATCTCCTCCAGGATCTGCCGGGTCTCCTGGTACCGGTGCCGTGCCTCGGTCCAGGCTGCCAACCCTCGGCTGCTCTGCATCCTGCACACCTGAGCCTTCATCTCCTGCAGCTTCTCCAGGGCAAACTCCACTGAGAGCTTCTGGAAGGAGCTCTGCAGGCACTGCAGCGCCTGGCCTTCCCCGCGCCTCCCCCGGGCTGAGCACTGCCTGCAGTCCAGCCTCAGCCCCGTGACCTAGAGAAGAAGGCAAGAGTGGCTGCTTTCACGGCTGCCCAGCCGACACCAGGTCCTGCGGGAGGAGAGCCCACGCACCCACCTTGCCGGAGAATTGGCCAAGCTCCCGCAGCAGCTCCTGCTCAGCCTGCCGCCGCTCCACCTGCCTGTAGAAGCTCATCAGCTTCGTCTGGAAAAGGGCTGCAGCCGCCTGGAAGGGGTCTGCCTCAGGGAAAGCCGCGTCTCGGACCTCAGCCGCCTCCTGACACAGGGCCAGGCCGTGCCGGTACTGAGCCTGCAGGGACGGCAGGAAGGAACAAGCTCCACGCGCGGGGAACGGCGCTGGGACGTGCGTGCAGGGTGAGGCTCTCGGCAGGTCAGCACTCAGCATCGCTATCAAAGCTATATGGGAAACGTTTCTGGGCAAGTGAGAAGAAACAAAGAGAATGGGGATTCTCAAAATCTCTGCTCTGTCCTGGCTCAGTTCAAAATGCACAAAATGCATTGTCCTGTCCTGAGTGGAGTCACCTTGCTTCGTCCTCCCCGTGGTGCACGTAACTAAAAGGCCTCCAGATGTAGAGGTATGGGAGGAACAAATCCTTGTCACCACGTTATTCGTTGTCTGATGGACGTCCAGGTCCTGCAGCCCGGCCCTGCGGGAGGAAGGGGCTGCGAAGGACAGAGCGCAGGAGGGGCTGGGAACAGCAGCGCCAGCCCGAAGCGCACCAGGCAGCAGTGCGACCGTCCCTGTCACCAGAGCAGGGCTGCCCAAAGAGCCCGGCAAAGCTGGGCTTGAAAACTGCAGCTTGACCCAGCCAGCCTGGGGACACCCAGTTTTGCCCAGAAGCCTTGTTCCAAACCTGGGGGATTTGGGCTGATTGTATCAAACTTTGAAATGACGTTCAAATGTTTCTAATTTGGCATCTTCAGTTTCTGCCGCGCACCAGGCAGGGGCCGGAGCCACCTAACAGCGCTGCTGGCAGCAATACCCTAGGGATGCATGTTACAGAAAAGCCCCCTCCAAACATACTGTTGCCTGGACGAGGAACTCGTTAAACTGCTCGGCGGACCCCTGGAAGCTGTCGGGGCTCCACTCCTCGGCGCCCATCTCCCGCAGCCGTGCCGCTGCCTCCCCGTCCAGCCAGCACCCCAGCTGCAAGAGAGAGCGGGACCGAGGGTCAGGCGGAACCCGCTGCCGGCAGCAGTGCTTCCGCAGCACCTCCCCTTCCTTCCCCGACCGGGGCATCCCATCCCAGGCGTGGCTACGCAGAGTCGCCCCGTAATGAAAATCAAAGCTCAGGCAATCCTGTTATTCTCTGGGCTTCCTTCATCATCAAAAGCCGAGGAAATGTGGGCAGAATGCTCAGCCATGGGAACACCGCAGCAGACAACTTCAACTTGCCGCACCCAGAGCAGGACCCCAGGGGCGCCCAACTCACCTTGCTGAACTCCGCCTCGAGCCCCTGGACCTTTCGGAGGAACTCCAGGTGCTCCAGGCAGCTGTTGGACTGGGACACCAGGTCATGAAGCTCTTCCTCCAGCTGGCTGTACAGCCCCTCGGCTGACTCCATGCTGGTCCTGGTGGTTGGGGAGGAGAGGGGCCGTCAGTGCCGGCTGCTGCCGGCTCCCCCTGAAGACGCCGGCCGAGGCAGCTCTCTGGCAGGCAGGAGCCTCTGGATGGGGCAGCTCCCTGGAAGCGGGCACTGGCATGTGGCCATGCGGGCAGGCGGGAGCCGAGGGAGCAGGCAGGCAACGACGCAGCACGTGTGGCTGGCAAGAGCCCAGCAGGTGCCTGGGTCAGGAGCTGACCAAGAGACCTCCTCCCCACCCGCCCCGTGCGTCCTCACAGCCCACCCGGGACACGAGGGCACTCCTCGGGGTGAGCCGGACAGCGGGCTCCAGGCCCTGCGCACCAGGCACGCTGCAGCAGAGCACCCTGGCCCTGCAGGTGCTCCCACACCTCCCCATCCCACGGAGCAAGATGGGTGTGAGGGAACGCGGGATAGGAAAGCGTTGGCTGTCAGTGTGGCCTGGCCCAGCCAAGAGAAGGGAGCAGAAGGGAGCAGTGGGATTAGTGCAGCCTGCATGCATGGACCGCCGGACGAGCGCGGCATCGCCGGACGAGTCCGGCATCGTTGGACATGTGCAGCATCGTTGGACAAGTGCGACATCGCTGGACAAGCGCGGCATCGCCGGGGCCTGGCCCCATCTAGTGGCTTTGCCTGAGACCAGCCTGGAGGGCTCGCTGCAGGCCTCGCTGAGCAGCCCCGGAGCCTGGTCCCGGGGCAGGGGACCCTCTCAGGGAGCCAGGCACCTTCCCCAGCCGGGATGACGGGAAATCCTGCAAAGGGCTCCATGCTCGGAGGGAGTTTGCAGGGCAGGAGGCAGCGTGGCGCCAGCTCCGGGGTGTGCTGGAAAGAAGCTCGTGCTCATGGGGACCGGGCTGTCCCTGGGGAGGTGGCTCTGTTGGCCGGCAAAGGAGGCTGGGGGTCCCCAGCACTGGCACCCCTCTCCTGGCAAAGCCGCCCCCTCCTACCTGACATTGGCCGAGGCGCTGAGGCGGGTGGCCTCCCTGCGCAGCCTGGCCAGCACGGCCCCCCCCTCGCGCTGCACGCACACCAGCTGCGGGTCGCTCAGCACCCTCCGCATCAGCTCCTGGTGCCTCCCAATGCACGCGGCCGCATCCTGCGGAAGGAGGGTCAGACACGCGTCTCACCTGGGGCCTCGCCTGGCGGCTCCCGGGCCAGCGCAGGACGGGCACCCAGGGCTGCACCCCGAGGGACAAGCAAAGGGGACAGGGAGAGCCCCGCAGCCAGGAGCCACCGGTCCAGGAACGGTTGCACCCAGTTTTGGGGAACCGGGGTGAAATGTCGCTGTGTGCTGGACTGCGGGCCTGCCCGTTACCTGTGTCCTTGCCAGCGCGTCGGCGCTCCGCAGCTCCTGGATGCAGCTCTGCAGCACCTCTGATGCCCGCCTGAGGCCGGCCGTGAAGGGATGCAGTTTCTGCGGGTGGGACACACAGAGGGTCAGTGGGGCCGGGCAGCTGTGCAAGCAGCGGGGCGGGAGGGCAACCTGCCCGCGAGGAGGAGGAGGAGCAGTGCCAGGCCAGAGCAGGAATACCATAGGGCACCGGGTTAAAGCTGAGGAGGAAGGGAGTGTGGAGGTGGACGGGCAGTTGCACGCAGGAGGGGGGTTGCCCTCCTGTGCTCAGAGCTCCCCTTTCCCTTCCCCTCTCCTGGGCTTTCCTGTCGCTTTTCCAGGGATGTCTGTGAGACACGGAAGCCGCGGTGGGGATGGAGGGCACCACGGGGAGGTGAGGCGATGGCTAATGGCGTGATAACAGACACCTGGAAGAATTGAACCCACTCGCCGTGGCAGTAGGGGAAGGCGCCGTCCAGCTCCTGTGTCAGCTGGGAGCTGTCGATGTAGCGGCCCAGAGCCTTCAGCGACGCCAGGGTCTCCACCTGCGGGGCACAGGGCTCGTGAGTGCTGCGGGACCATGCCAGGTCCCTCCCCAGAAACACCCCCGGGTGAAGCAGGGGGCAGAACCCCCCCCCCCAAGCACCCTGCCCTGTGAACCGTGCGGCACACGGCCCTGGGAGCCCTGCGTGCCAGCAGGGCTGAGTGCGCCACGCGGCAGCTCCACTCGGAGCAGCTCCCGGCAGCTCCGCGGTGTTTGAATGCACGGGAGATCGCCGGGACTGCAATAATCTGCCACGACAGCCAAGCTAGGTGATTGAGCTCATTAATATTTCACGTTATATTAATTAAACTGAGCAGCACCAAAAGAACAATAAACCCTTTCAAGTTTAGATTTATTATCCCACTGCCTGTGTCTGGCCACTGGAGGTAATTGGGAAAGCGCTTGGCTGCCCTTGGGCACCCTTCGCCCGGCCCACCCTGCCCCCAGCGTGGGGGGACCTCTCCCAGCGGGGTGCTGCTCTGCTCGGGGTCCCCAGGTAGGGGAACTGGGGTCTCCAAGCAAAGGGACGGAGGGTCCCCAAGGCAGGAGGCTCCTTTCACCTTAGCTCTGCTCTTCCCACAGGAGACGATGCGGGGACACGAGGAGGGACAGGGACAGGCTCACCTGCACCCCGGGCAGCCTCTCACGGTGGGCGACCAGCTCCTTCTCGGCCAGCAGCAGCACGGTGTGGATGCAGCCGGGCGAGACGCTCTGCGAGAGGCAGGGAAGAGTCACCATGGCAAACCCATGGTGCAGCCCCCGGGTTACCCATGGTGATGCCGGGGCTTCGTTGCCTGAGTCAGCTGAGGCCGGTGAGCTCGTTACAAAGGAAAAGGCTCCCGAGCTCGCTGGCATGGGAAATGGAAATGGGTCGCTCAGGCCGTGACCCCGTCCCCATCCACCAGCTCCCGGCAGAATGGCCCCATGGACAGAGCCTTGTGAGCAAACCCCTTTGCTCGCACCAGCTATGCTTCTCCGCGCAGGAAGCGTTGGGGTTGGCACAGGATTTATCGGACAGGCTGCAAGCAAGCCCTGAGCAGCACAGGGCACTCCCGCGGCACTGCCTCGGCACTGCCTCGGCACCGGCACGGAAACCCTGCCAGGATGAATCGACCATCGCTGCGGAGGTGAGCTCAGCCAGCAGGATCCTTTAGGGGCTTGGGGCACGCCGTGGTGCCCGGTGACAGTGGGGCCAAGGCCAGATCCTGCGGGGCTGGGAAGAGACCCTCGGTCCCAAACTGCCGGTGCCTCGCGGCTGGCGTTCGAGGAGCCGGGGAGATGCAAGCGCCAGGCGTGAGCTCGGTTCGGGGGGCTGGGGGAAGCGGTCTCTGTGCCCTGTTGGGGGATGATCTGCACCGCTGCAGATGTGCTCAGAAATTAGAGCTTTATCAGCAGCTTCGGGGAACAAAGTGGCAGTTGTTCAAGCGCGACAAGACTACAGGGAGTCAGGAGCCAGGACTGGCTGCTGGGGAGGAAGAGGCAAGAGAGACATGGGGTTTCTAGATCAGTGCATTGCGATGCAGCCGCAGGCAGCCGAGAGCTGCCTCGGTAAATCCGCACCGCGATGCTTACGGGTAAAATCTGCAAGATAAAAACCGCGGCCTCAGGCACGGCAGCGCCGGGGGCTGCCAGAGAGGCTGCCGCCAGCCAGGGGATCAGACCGCGCAGCGGGCGCAGGGGAGGCTCTGGGGGACCCTTGGAGGGCGGCAGCGCTCGCTGCCGGGCAGGGACCCCCCAGCATGTCCGTGGCTCAGGCACGCGGAGCCCAGCGTACCTGGACAGAGCGGAGGGCCGAGAACAGGACAGGAGCAGGCGACTGCTTCCTGGCATCCACCACAACAGTGAGCCCGCCGTCCTTCGCTTCTCGCCTAGCAAGGGGAAATAAAGCAGGAGGCAGACCGCAGTGGTTAGAAGTGGCATGTGAAGAGCGGGTCCCTCCTCTCTGGCAGGACCCGCTTGAAGCCCCCTCCCCCGGGCAGCAGGGCAAGGGCGGGCAGGAGCCACCAGCTGTGGGCAATGGCCTCATCCCCATGGGACGCCCCAGCCGAGGGAAGTGCCGGACCCCCAGTAATGCATGCCTTCAGCAGAGGCACGGCACGGGGTCCTCAGGGCTGGCTGCAGGTGGGACAGTGGACATGGTGGGGGCCGCGCAGGGTGTGCCCAAAGCAGCATGTGTAGGGTGCTGGGCGTCCACCCTGGCTTGGCCCGGGGGCTGCCCAGGACCCCCCAGCTGGGAGGCGGCCCGGGGGGTCCCTGACAGGTCCTCCAGGCCCTTACCTGGGGAGGGAGCAGAGGTAGAGGATGAGCCTCGCCAGCTCGGTGGCCGAGCACCACGTGGCCCCCCAGGCGCTGCCGCTGGTGGTCACCTGGAGGAGGGCCCTGCCCAGCCTGTCCGAGCTCCCTGCGGGGAAAGGGGCGAGTGACCCCTCCAGCAGCCACCCGCCGGCTGCCAACTCCAGCCCCGAGCAACCCCCTGGAGGGGCTGGGGCTCCCGTCGGCCTCGCTGCTGCTCGCCAAGCCGGAACGGCTGCCGAGGGGTGCGGGAGCGGGCTCAGCGCGGGGGGCTCAGCCCGGGTCAATACTGTGCAGCTGTGGCAGCGCAGCGGCTGCCCCGGTGCCACCCCGGTGCAGTCTCCCCCCAGCCCCTCCGGAGGGGCAGCGCCAGCCCGCAAGGGCTCTCAGCACGAACGCTGGCCCTGGAAATGCCAGGGCAGAGCTGCTGGGGACGTTTTTCCTGAAAAAAAGATGGGGTTTTTGTCACTGTTTTTCAGCTCTTGGGAAAAGGAAGAAGCCAAATGTTTAGTGTTTGGCAGCTAAACGCTGAACGGCTTCGTTGGTGAGGAATGGTGTGGGAGGGCTCGGTGCAGCTGGGAGCCGGGGCAGCTGCTCAGAGCAGACTGCTTGATTTTATGTTTTTAATATTTTTGCCCAGCTGAAAGGAAATTTTCCACTTGGGGGCTTTCTGGCCTCCAGCAAAGCCCTGAAACCGTCCTCCAGAAAACCCTCTCCAGCAGCCTGGTGTTTTCCCTCCGGAGGCCTCTCCCGACATCCCCCCGAGGGTCTCGTGGTGCCAGCGATACCTGGCAGGCACACGATGCCCGAGCGCAGCAGCCCGGCATGCAGGTCCTGCCAGGCCGGCGGCTCCCGGCCAGGGGTGCTGGTGCTGGGCACGGAGGGACTGTTCTTGCAACCGGTGGTTTCCAGGGACCGTTCCTCCGCGGGGGCAGCGGCTGGGGGACATACCTGCCCGTGGGGACAGAGGAGAGAGGAGCTGGTGACGCACAACAAGGCGGAGAAATGCAAAAGCCCCCGCAGAGCCTGGGCAGGTGCCGCAGCCCCGCTTGGATGGTACCTTTCCCAGCTGGCTTGGCTCTGCCCATCCTGGGCGAGTAGATGGCAGACATCTTTTTCCAGGCCCCTTCGTGCTGGCTGGTGGTTCTTTCGTCCCCAGGGGCCGCCCCGAGCCGCGGGCCCTTCAGGAAGGAGAATTTGTGGCTGGGGGGCGGGGGGGGGCGGGGGGCGGCCCCCCCGGGCGGAGGGCCGGGGCGGCGGGTGAGAAGCGTGGGGCTGCCAGCCCCCCTCCTGTGCTGCGTGGGGGTCTCACGGGGAGTGGCGGGGGACAGCTCAGGGCTGGGGCCATCCGGCTCCTCCAGGATGGCTGCCATCAGCCCGGGGCCGAAGCTCACTGGGTTCTGCAGCGCGGCCAGGTAGGAGTCGCGGTGGCGGCACCGTGGGCCATGTAGCTCTGGCTCCTGGTTCAGCTTCCTCCCCAGGCACGGGGTGCAGGGACCCTCCTCCGAGCTGGGTGCCCCCCCGCAGGGCCAGGCGTCTGCCCCCAGGTCCTCGTTCACCCAGGGGAGCGTTGCCTCGGCCCTGGCCCCCGTTGGCGCTGCCGGGCAGGTGGGCGGCAGGGACCTGGCCAGGAGGTCCAGCTGCTCCTGGGAGAGCTCCAGCAGGTCCACGTACTCCCCTTCCAGGTTCTGGCTGATGATCTCGCAGAGGCTGGGCACGGCCAGCGTGGCCGGCTTCTTCTGCAGCCCAGCCTGGTCCACCTTGATCAGTCCTGGGTATCTTCCCTGGCTCGACTTCCGAGAGGTGACCTTGCAGCCAGGGACAGTGCCCACGACATTGCTGTAGGGCACCGGGGCATCCGCCGTGCCACGGGGCGTGGGTGTGCTGGGTGCTGGCGGCTCGGCTGCTGGTTCAGGAACGGGGCCGTGCCGGGCCCCTGTGGGCACGCCATCAGCTCCAGCCTTGGGCTTGTCGATGAACTCCGGCGTGGCGATCTTGCTCCATGGCAGCGGGGCGACACCGTTCTCGGTGGCCACCAGGCAGGTGTGCAGGGGGGCTCTGGCCCGGTCACCGTTGATCTCTTCCAGCCACTCGTTGGTGAAGAGCAGCGCGTAGGCGGCCTCGGGGACGGGTGTCTCCTCCACCGTGCGCAGGTCGTGGGAGAGGTGCTTGACGGTGATGCGTGCCGAGTGCTCCTCGCAGGGCTCCGCTTGCAGGTAGAAGTCCCCAGGGCGCAGCAGGAGGGGGTTGAGTGGCGCGAGGTGGACGACCACTTTCTCGTGAAGACACAAGGGCCAGCCTTCATGGAGAAAGATGCAGTTAAAGTAGGGAGCCTGGGAGGGAGGAAGAACACAGCGCATGAGCGAGAGCCCCCGCCAGCTCCGAACCCTCCCGGCCAGCCCCGCATGCTCTTGCTGCCTAGCTCTGCGATTCCCAC